TATGTGTTACAATAAGTGAGGGTGGAAATTCGAACTTACGGCTTTTTGGTCGGAGATAGGTAATTTAACCAATTGAACTATACTCAAGTTGACAATATGGCTATCTGTTCGACTATGCTAATAAAACGATAATTTAATCATTCATCATCTTTTTCTTAACAAAATTTATTAATTTTTCTTTTTTACTAAGAACTTAATTAAGAATTTTTAATATATTAAGAATAAAATTGAAAATTTTAAAAAGTTAAGTACTAAATTGAAAATTACCGTGAATAGGAGGGACTATTGTGTATTTTTTTGCCCCTATACAAATAAGCAATAAGATATAGTAATATGGCGATTATAAAAACATAACTATATTTGGTGATTTATTATTTTTTAGAAAAATAATTACATGCTTTATATTTTTAAGGAATCAAAGAATTGGAAATATAATAATATTAGATACATGTGATTATATTGGGTAGCAAAGAGATTTAAATTCCAAATCTTTGTTTTTCTRTATTTAAAAATGGTTAATGATTTTAGAATTARATAATTTTCCCATTAATTGATTTGGATTTTGATTAAATTCCTTAAATTATGGATTTGGTTTGGGAAAGAAATATGCGGAGATGGTTTCTCATAATGACTCATTTGTACTTTTTTTCACTTASAAAAATTTTCCATTATTGAAGGAAATAATTACTCAAAAAAAAAAGGAAGAAAATAATTTTTGGAAGAAATGTTTATTTGTTCAAAGCCTTTTACCAAATTGGCATAAGACTTTCTTGATTTATTTTGGGAATGAATTTCAAATTTAAGTTTATTTATAAAAGCAAATTCAATGGTAGACAGAACACATATTATCATCTTAAAAGTTGATAATTCGAGATCACACGTCCTATAACTTTTAAATTAAAAAAAATTATATATATATATATATATATATATATATATATATATATTAACGTCACTGTTTACATATCAGCGTTATATGTTGATTAGACTAACATGAAACGATTCTGTATGATATGAAATTTCTTAGTCATTTCTTTGTTGAGAAATTATATGTTGAATATAAAATGTAACAAATTATTATAGCCTTGATAATTAAAAGCTACAACTAAAATACAACCAGCTGAAAATATAAGTTCCTCAAAAAAAAAATATATATATATATATACGTTGATGCGTGGATTTTGGTCCTCTGGTTCTCCTCCTCGCACACACCAAACTTGATGATTCGGGACTAATACTTGCAAAACCAAATCCAGCTAAATCGGTGTGACTCTAGTCACACGGGCTCCGATGCCTAAGTTAGCAAGAGAATAATGTGAATGTGGTCAACTTTTAGATCCCCTTACCTTTAGGGTTGGATCGCTTCTTATGGCCGTGAAATAGTTCCAGAACTTTCCGTAGCTAACCTTAATTCACAGTTGCAGGGCTTGGGCGAAATCGTTGATCGAAGATGGGGACTTGTTGGTC